TGGTAATTTTTTACATTAGTTGACATTGGAATTGAGACATGAAGTTTAGTCAGGTAGGTAGTACTCACCAAGTAAAGTAGTGTAGTAGTATTTACTAGAATTTTGTTTATTATTTGTTTAAAAATGAATGTGAGTGAGATACAGGCCCTTAAAGTTTTCTTAATCGGAGGAAATTCCGGTAGGTACGGCCCTGGCTTCAGCCTTCCGTCAGCTGTTCCCGCCAAACATCGTTTGTCCTAAAACATATCTTCCTAACATTATTCTAATGTATCAGCCCGCCTTCGGCGGGCAGGGGCATTAAACAAGTCTGTCATACATCTACCTAACTAAATAATGACGTCATCAAGCATATTTGGCGAGAACAGCTGACGAAGGATTGCAGCCAGGGCCGTACCAATCGAAATTTCCTCCGATTAAATAACTTTAGGAGCCTGTATCTCAAGCTATATTGGTTTCCGCACGGAATTAATGCTACCACACGATTCTACTTGGTGAGTACTACCTACCTGACTAAACTTCATGTCTCAATTCCAATGTCAATTAATGTAAAAAATGACCAAAAAGGTTATTCTAAGAATTTTTTGTACTGTGAGATGATTTTTGGAAGCCGCTGTGTTTAAGGTCAAAGGTGTAACGAGCCTAGGTCATAAATTCTTTTAAACAGAAAGGAAAGAATCTGCTTTGATTATTTTTTTAATGAATTGTAAATCATCATCATCACTTCCACTCCTTCCTATCCGGAGCTAATCTTCGCAGTTCACGAAAACTAGAACATGCTACATCCTTAATTATTTGCGAACAGTAATCTAATCTAGGTCTACCTTTACTCCTCTTAACTTGTGTTTATGCCTCTAATATGGTCATTACTACACCTTCCTGCCTGAGAAGGTGTCCTACCAACCCATCTCGCCTTTTTTTTATTGACTTCCATAAAGTCCTATGTTTTCTTATTCTTTCTAATACCTCTTCGTTTCTAACCTCTATCCACGGTATTATAATCATTCGCCGGTATCACCACATTTCGAACGCTTCTAACCTTTTCTTTTCCCGCCGCGCTCACCGTCCATATTTCCCACCCGTACATCACTGAGCTCCAAACATACACTTTTAACAATCTGTTAAATATTTAACAAAAACCAAATGTACATTCATAAAACAGAAACCGATCAATGAGCTTTATTAAACAAATATGAGCAAAATAGAAAACTGATCAGTTTTAAAAAACTAAACCAAATAAAACGAAATGAGATACCCTTACTCAAGAGTATATAGTCTTCGGGCACCTGTCCTAAAATGATAGCTATCAGGGCTGCGAAAGAGATTCCGCTTCATACGTAATACTGATCAAGATCAGAATAGACACATTTACACCCTTGGACGCTATCATGTGTACTAGCTGTGGGAGAGAGGTGTCGGCTCCCGATCGATGGTCCTCATACAATGCGCCTTCTCCCCACAATCCCTTCAATCGCGCACTGCACTATCGCAACCGAACGACCGAAGGGATCTACCTGGTCCGTTACAAAGACTATAAATGCATTTTAATAACAGTATTTTTAACTGAAACTTTTTATGGAGCAGTATGAAAGTTTCGAGATTGAGAGTAAACTCGTCGAGCTAACAAAATCTGTTAAGTGAGAGAGACGGAAATAAGTGAGAGAGACGGAAAAATTATACGAAGATTCGCACAAAGAGAATACACCGAGAATAGTTGCCGGGCATTAGTCTCAGTTTATCAGAGTCGTTATAACTAGTGCCAGTCTTATTAATTAAAGAATTCATTCTTGTAACATAAAATTGTAAACCGTAAGTTCACTTTTGACGCCGTTTGTTTTGACTAACCCATAATCTCGTTATTACTTATGTAAATATTACTTGTAAAGGTTCTTAATCCGCAAGAACTGTTGAAAATTACTGCCACATAGGATGCATGCATTCAATCTCCTTATTGACTGCCCTGGTGTTCGTTTCTTATTGAATTACACTCTACAATTATCCAATGAGAATGACTTCTGTGGATGTTTTGAGTAATGTAAACGGAGATTTTATTAATACAATGAGGAGTATTCTCAAGCGGATAAGATTAATGTACTTATGTACTCTAAATTTTATAGTGTAAATTTTCTACTTCTTCACTTCGCATATTTATTGAATAATTGACATAGATATATCATGTAATTGTTGTATGCAAATCGTATTATACTGCTCTTGATTCGAAAGGAAAACGATATCTATTTGTTGCTTTTACTAGTAAATATTAGCCGAACTTACATTAACATTACCTTTGTTTTCAGGTGCAACCGCCTGTCATTTGGATATCGTTTGATAATCAGGTGAGTGAGCACATGATTTCTATTATTTAGAATTTCTTTTAACGCCCAAATAAAAAAATACCTTCGATTAAGATAATAGTGCAAGTGTCTTTTTTTCTGCCGCAATTATAGATTTCAAAATTTGAAATGTAAAAGAATCTTGTCTTATTAAAATAGAATTCAACAATTATTATGAGTTATGATGAACGTAAATTTTCAAGAGCAACAACTTATCTGTATAAGTGGATTAGCATTTATTTACAGATGTTTTGATAAATAAATAAATATACTGTTGGTTATATTAAGATTGGCAATTTAACTGTAATAGTAATGGAAAATAGTAAAACTCCAATTATACTTTATTAGTCAGTAACAACAGAAACGTATTAACTCAAAGGGAGCTTCTTAGGAACTAAATTTTAAAATGTACAAAAGGTCTCTGCAGCCTCCTTAGTGCCATAAAACCCAGATGTGGCCTAAAAATGACCTGGATATTACGAATACATATTTTTATAAAACTAAACTCATCGTTGATTTCCAACATATACAGGTAGACCCAGATTAGATTACTGTTCGGAAATAGTTAAGAATGTGGAACGTTCTAGTTTTAGGTAAATGCGAAGATTAGCGCAGGATAGGAAAGCGTGGAGATGCGTGTCCAACCAGTCGTAGGACTGACAACCTTATGGTGATGAATAATATAAATATGTAGGTATGTTGTAAGTGTAAGTATTTTTCTTAACATAATTCTCCGTTAAACAGACATTGTATATAGAATTTGTACTCCGGAGAGGATGTTTTGTCCGAAAAGCGCCTTAATGGTAACTTAACGCCTTTTGACGTTTTCTTCTGGTTCATGTGTTCAATTTTTTACTCTTAACTACGGCGTAGCATGAATGACTTTCGAGAAAAGAAAAGTGTCCGCCCGTAAAATGTAACAAGAACGCCGTGACGGATTACGCAGTCTAGATTAAAAAGTTTTATTGGTTAGTTTTGTACTGACAGACCTGTAATTCGTGACCGCTCCCGTAAAAGTGTCGGTTTCTTTTGTCCCACACTTGAATTAAACGATAGGATAGTGTTAATTTATATTTTAAAATATTTTACCTTTAAGAGCATGGGCAACAGTAAGCGGCCATCACGATGACTTTACCATTTTGTTTGTCGTCTTGTATTAGCAATAAGACCGTTAATGATAATTCTCCGTTGCTTGATGTTTTTTGTTTTAGGTTTTAAAAATAACATGCCTAATAAGTGACAAACTGTAAGTGTAATATTATCTATATTTTGACAATTTGTTATTAGTATCGTAAATAATTTATTAGAGGATGACTTTGTTGAATAATTAGAATACTAAAAGATCAAAACATTTTATAATAATCTGTAACAATAATTTCAGCACCTACAGTGATTTTATTAGTTTTTATAATTTTACTGCTAATCATCAGCTATTGATGTGCTAAAAGATTTAACTGGGTAATTACAAAAAATAGTTTCACTATGTGCTTGGGTGCAGAAGGTTACGATCATCATTATAAGGTCGTCAGTCCTAAGACTGATTGGACACGTACCTCCACTCTTTCCTATCTTGAGCTAATCTTCGCATTTCCCTGAAACTAGAACATTCGAAATGAAGAGGTATTAGGAAGAGTAGGAGAACAGAGGGTTCTATGGAAGTCAATAAAAAATAGGCGGGATAGGTTTGTAGGACACGTTCTCAGGCATGAATGTCTAGTCAGAGACATATTAAAAACAGAAACAGGAGTTACGAGGAGTATATGTAGACGTAGATTAGATTACTGTTTGCAATTAGTTAAGGATGTGGGATGTTCTAGGTTTAGGAAAATGCGAAGATTAGCTCAGGATAGGAAGGGGTGGTGTGCGTGTCCAACCATTCTTAGGACCTTATGATGATCAGAGTTTACTTCATAATGTATCTAAATTATTTATAAGGTGACCGTCATCGAAGTGAAGAGATTCCCAAAATTAATGCAAGATTTGAATTAAATAAAAAATCCAATTTTTATTCTTTAAATTGTTATTTTTCTATTGAATCGTAAAGTAAACAGGATAGGATTAAGTACTGGAAATGGTCACCACGGCTTTGCTGGCACATATCTACACTTTCGTCGAAATTTTCTATGACTATTTTGCATAAATATGACTGAATTTCGTTGATGAAGCGTTTAATTTCCCTCTTCTATGCACGTGCGCTTGCGGGCTTTTTGGCATAAAGGCATAGGCCTTTGACGTTTATACATCAATATTATTCAGTTCAGGCAGAAAAAGTTGTGTTATCACGTCGCGATATCGAGCAATAGTAACTTTTACCTGCTTGACCAGCTTCATTTTCGAAAAAGTATGATGTGTGGTCCAACGACGTTTCCAGTCCAAAATTTGCATCAAGCAGTGACACGTTAAGGATGCATGTATTTTTCGACAAATGCGGCATTTCGGACGGTCAACAATGCTTCACGCTGAAAATGATTTTGTTCGAAAAATCGGCATCCACTTGTTGCTGTTCAATAATAATCCATGCAGCGAACTCTCTCCGCTGTGCGTGGTTATTATGTCATTAGGCTTCAGTTCTTGTGTCAATTGAACTTTATAAGTATGGAGACATAAATCTTCCGTGAGTTTACGCTGCAGGGAGCTTTTTGAAATTTGCAATTCTCGTCCACTACGCCCAATTGATGTTGCTGGACTTTCATCAATACTCTCATATACTACTTCAATATTGACATCTGAACGGTCGGTTTTTGGACGATTAGTGCGTTTATTATCATCATTATCCAGTCTGTTTGAATTTTTCAATTACTCTCTTTATAGTTGACGAAGTTAAATCAGAATTCCGACCATATTTTGTATGAAATTTTTGGACTGTGGCCTCCAGACTCGTCATTTTTGAAATACTATTCAACAATGAAAACACGCTGTTTTATCGTGTAACTAACCCTAAACTATCAGCTATCAAATGTTTTCTTTTTAATACAATTGCCACCACTTTGCTGCATGGATAGGAGCAATGTGTAACTGGATAGTAGCAGAGAATTTCACAATATTATCCTTATTATATTCAGAATTATTGCAGATGCCCTAATTTGCATATGGACACGGCTTTTTAGATTGGCAAGATAATTTTTCCGAAATCACAAGGTAAATAATGGATAATTAGCCGTAAATTGTCCGTAACCTCAGCAGTAAAGTTCGACTCAGGACAATCGACTAACTGAAAGACTTTTTCAGAGTTGCCCTATTGTTCATTTTAGATAATTTTGAACAGTGGTTTGGAATGTAGCAGCATAGTTTGTGTTCAGACTTCTCACTGATGATCAAAAGAATCAATCTTCCAAAAAGTATCTACGCATCCGTTAGGGAAAATAGCGTTAAAAAAAGCAAAAATGGCCTTTTTCAACCTAGAAAAACAAAACGAAAGTCAAAAATTTTTATTGTCGCTTCAATGCTTAAATATTTTTCCATGAATGTATTATTACATATATTGTCGCCAAGAGAATACGGTAACTTTTTTTAAATATGCAAAATACTGTATTAAACAATGTAAATTAATCGTTGAAAAAAAAATTATTGATCTTTTCCTCAATTTTGAGGTTTTTGAAATCTATAGGATATAGTAGATGTCACGGTGGCAATTTAAATTCGTTGAACGCGATTGGTCAGTTACGGATGCCACCTTGTAGATTTTGTTTGTGCTTTGATTGGTTCTTTCAAATTTAATAAAGAGCTCTGTCCCGTGACCAGTTTGCAAGCAACAATCTATGGATGTATCGTTCAACTTGCAACATTCCAGCTATTCGAACCTTACGTAGTGAACACAACAGTGGTTCAAATGAAAAATGAAACAGTAATGAATTAAATAAAAATGCAAATAGATCATTGTAACAAATAAGTTATAAAAAAGTAAGAGAAAGTCAGGAAAGTTATAAACAAAGCTTGCACGATATAAATAAAAAAACACTTAAAAATGAAGAATGTGGAATATTTTGAGAAATGATGTACGAGATGTAGCAACTAAGTTCCGATAATATAGTTGTAACTTCCCACCTAACAATACGACGGGGTTAGAACTCACGTTGTTCTAAATTTTGAACCTTCCTTTAAAATCAGTAGAAGGAGTAAGTTGGTAGGTTGTATCATTAAGATTACTTATATTATATATTAATGTGAAAATTAATTTTTAATTTCAATCCCACTACAAACTACCTCTAGTTAATGAGGGAAAAATTTGTTGCTGTTGTCACAACATTGCCGGGACCTTTGGCTTTACGCACCAATGCTCAGAGCTCAGGTCCCGGGTTCGATTCCCGGCAAGGGTGTGACAACAGCAACAAATTTTTCCCTCATTAACTTGAGGTAGTTTGTAGTGGGATTGAAATTAAAAATTAATTTTCACATTAATATTTTTGTTGACCCCTATTAAATGTCAAAATGTTTCATAGTTACGTATATTATGTTATGAATTTACTACGTCGGTTTGTTCAAAGTAATTGTTTAATTTGAAACACTTAGAAAAGGATAACGGAATTGCAAGAATGCGCACAACGATTTACCTACTAGTGTACCTATATAGAGTGTAACAAAAATAAGTGCCGATCTTGCAAGTGGTGATAAAGCACTGTAAAAGATGAAAATTAAGTAAATGTTTGCATTTCCGAATGTTCACCGTATTCTAGAAAAATGTAGTTGAAAGTACAGATAAATTCAATTACGGTCCTGATTTATAAATACGGCCCGCAACACTGCACTCAGACAACTGATGATTATCAGCGTCAGTGTAGCATTTGTTTTTTTTTTTGTATTGTTTATTTGTTAGATTAGATTAAGTGTGATTCAGGGTGTTTATGTTAACAGCAAACCTCTAGTACAGAGCCGGGCAAACTCGGCTCTTTTGCCTCCCGAGTGCTCCTCAAGGTTAACCAAGTAGCTCCTCATTGATCCTGCGAGTGTGAGTGAGATAATTCTTTCCTTTTCTTAACCCTTCCATTTCGTAGGTGAGTCCCCTC